ATAGACGAATTTATTTTTTTCGTGATAGGTTCATAAGGTATAGCTGACTGAATTCCTTTCTGGCTTTCTTTACTTTGATCCAGCTTCTTGATATCTCTACAAGGAAGAGTGGTTGTATTTCCATCTTTTATATTGTTCCTTGTCTCAGAACCGACTTGAAAGGGGGTAGCACGTCCAAACAACTAAAATTTTAATGTGGGTATTTCAACAAGGCCATCCATAAAAGCAGAAATCTATTCAATAGTAAGTTGGATACACTTGTATATGTATTTCACTTCTGCTTTCTCAACAACCCTTGCTGCATTTTAAGGCCGATCAGTGAAATTCTCAACCTGTAAAGATCACGGTAATCCATTAATACAGCAATTCAAAGATTACTTAGTACAACAAACATCAATAAGTGAAAGATAACTACACTGATGCAGCAAACTTTGGAGTCCCATGTTTTAGATAGCCAAGATTCTTCATAGGTACTTCCACATAGTTCTTTGTCCCACAGCTTCTCAACCGACTATAACTTCAATGAAATGAGACCATAATGAGCCAGAAAACTGGATGTTTTCCAGGGACTGAAAGTCTCTTTAAGATGAGGCCAGATTTACTGGATTCACAGTACCTTGACTAACAACGTAATTAGCAACTCAGCCACCGACTCTTTCTTTCTCTTCCCATAGACCACCGCATCTGGATCAGTGCCATCTAGAACATTTACAGGCCAAGAAATAATACCGAGCTACTCGAAATAAAAACTCTCATGAAAAAACTAAAGCAAAGAGAAAAGTGTCAACACTCAAACAAAGAAACAAGTGCTAAAACCAGAACTGCCAAGTTATGTATAAGAAAAAAGAATTATGAGTATGTATCAGTGCATTTACAACCTCAAAAATTAATGATTTTTCATACACATCCACTTCTGATGCTTAGGGTCCTATATATTTCTTCAGAATAACTATTTCTATCATAATCCTGATTCCAGGGAATTTTTGTTTTCTACTACAGTACTTCACAACTCTCTGTACTGATACTAAAATTATTACATCCCTACCGAAAGGTGTTCGACAAATGAAAAAGTAAAGGTCCATAGTTACCTTCTAATATGGCTGAAAATGGCGGTAGTATTGGAAGATTTCGTGTCTTCGAAGTTCACATGACCCCAAATGAAAAAAAAACATATTATTAACTAAACAACTACATTAATAGCCCTATAGAAATAAAATATCATATACAAAACAAATAAGCAAAAAGTCATTCAGAAATATTGAAAGTCATTCTAAATAATCTAAGGCCATGAGAGGGGATATTGAGATGAAGTTAATAAGCTATGGCCTTTCTAAAAGCATGGTCTTTTGTTTTTTGCTGGAGAAAAAGGGTTACATAAAGCAACAGGAAGTTTATAAGAGTAACACAGTTATCCGCTTGTAGAAGAGGGTGCTTTGCAAAAGGTGCACCAAAACCATCTTTTTCTTTCTCATTTTTCTTTGGATAAGGAAAATAATTTCATTAAATTATACCAAGAAGTTACTTCAAGTCTGCAAAAGTACATAAAGTAAATTTTTCTTACTTTTGGTGTTTAATAAGTTGAAGCAATGCAAACTTGTTGTTGTCAGAATACTGTAACAAATTGGGCCTTTTGTTGTGCTTACAATAGCCTTCTTAGAGGATACAGATGATAGCATATTATGCACATTTCACTAGAACAAAAGAAGAAGAAAGATACACCAGTTTTCCTTAGAACAACCAGCAGGTTTCTTTCAAGTTTCAGCCCGAAATCGAAGGATTTCTCCGTGGATTTCGTCACTAGGTATGTGGGATTTCACTAGTGGGTTTCTTTCACCCATTAGGTCCCTAGAATTCAATCAGATTCTTAATTCTCTTCATATTGTATAGACTTAGGGTTTCTAGAACGCCAGATAATTGCTGTGATTTAGCTGTTAAACTAATCCTATTTAGAAAATTACATTTTCTAACCAAGTTGCTTAATTTTAGCATGAAATTCAGAGCCCTAGTTGTGTAGATTCATTTAGTTCATGAATTACACTAGCTAGGTCAGTTTATACAGATATACATGCATCAGTTTTCAAATGTTTCATTAACGATTTGTATGAGTATGTATCACTGAATTTACAGCCTCAAAATTTAAAGATTTTTCATACACATCCAGTTCTGATGCTTAGGGTCCTATATATTTCTTCAGAAGAAGTATTTCTATCATGATCCTGATTCTAGGGAATATTTATTTTCTACTAGAGTACGTCACAACACTCTGTACTGATACTAAAATTAGTATATCCCTTCCAAAAGGCGTTCGATAACTGAAAAAGTAAAGGTTCATAGTTACCTTCTAATATAGCAGAAAATGGCGGTAGTATTGGAAGATTTCGTATCTGTTAAGTTCACATGACCCCAAGAGAAAAAGAAAAAAAAACAGTTCATTAACTAAACAACTACATTAATAGCCCTCTAGAAAGAAAATATGCACATACAAAACAAATAAGCAAAAAGTCACTCAGAACCTTTGAAAATCATTCTGAATAAGCTAAGGCCATGAGGGGGGATATTGAGATGAAGTTAATAAGCTATGGCCTTCCTAAAATGCATGGTCTTTGTTTTTTCTGGACAAAAATGGTTAAATACAGCAACAAGAAGTTTATAAGAGTAACACCGATGTCCGCTTGTACAAGAGGTGGCTTTACAAAAGGTGCACCAAACCATCTTTTTCTTTCTCCTTTTTTCTTTGGATAAGGCCAAATAAATTTCATTAAATAATACCAAGAAGGTACTGCAAGTCTGCAAAAGCACAAAAGTAAATTTCTCTTACTTTGGGTGTTTAATAAGTTGAAGCAATACAAACTTTGTGTTGTAAGAATACTGTAACAAATTGGGCATTTTATTGTGCTTACAATTGCCTCCTTAGAGGATACTACTGATAGCATATTATGCACATTTCACTAAAACAAAAGAAGAAGAAAAAGGCGCCAGTTTTTCTTACAACAATCAATAGGTTTCTTTCAAGTTTAACTCCGAACTTGAAGGATTTTTCCATGGATTTCGTCACCAGGTATGTGAGATTTCACTAGTGGATTTATTTCACCCATTAGGTCACTAGAATACAGTCATATTCTTGATTCCGTTCATATTGTATAGACTTAGGGTTTCTAGAACTTCAGATAATTGCTATGATTTAGCTGTTAGAGTAATCCTAATTAGAATATTACGTTTTCCTAACCATGTTGCTTAATTTTAGCATGAAATTCAGAGCCCTAGTTGTGTAGATTCATTTAGTTCATGAATTACACATGCTAGTTCAGTTTATACAGATATACATGCATCAGTTTTCAAATGTTTCATTATCAATACTTAATGTTGCATTTTCAGTTAGCATGTCAGAATCTTGAGCTATCCAGTTTATTTCAGTTGTGTTGTATTGTACACATTCTAGTCGGGAGTAGGCTTAATACCGTGTTGGACTAGGGTCAGTCACCCTCATAGTTCTAGAACTACGTGCCCCCAGAGGTTAAGTCCCCTCTGTGGGCATTATATTTAGTGATAATGTCAATCATGCCTTTATACCCCTGGTAAGGTATATTGGGTCCTCTCGATGGGGCGTATAAATCAGACTCCACGTTTAGCTCATGTGGTTTTATGTCGATTAAAAGTAGCTCTCACAGTTAGATTCAAGTGCATTGACCAGGTTACCAGTTATATTTCAGTATTCAGTTTCAGTATGTTATGAACTTGGTCATTGCATTCAGTTTAGTTCATGTTTAGTATGTTAAGTATATTCTTCATATTCATTTTATATCATTGATCAGTATGCTTTATTCAGTTGTGTATATATTGTTCAGTTTTATCCTATCTTGCATGCTTAGTACCTTTCAATTCCTGATGCATACTCTGTGCTACATCTGCTCGTGATGTAGGTTCAGGCCCATAACATTCAGATCGCGTGTAGATCGGTTCCCAATCAGTACTCAACATTATCAGTGGTGAGTCCTCATTCTCCAAGGACGATAAACATGTTTTCTTTTACTTTCAGTCTTTCAGTTTCAGTTTTGGTAGAATTAGCTGGGGCATTTTCCACTATCTCTAGTTAGTTAGAGGCTTTTATTCAGACATAGTTAGATTATGTTTTGGTTTTGAGTTTGATCTTCCAGTTGTTATTAAACTCATAGTTTTTATATTCAGATTTAGATTGGGTATTTCCCCATCATTTTAGTTTATCTCATGACTGAAGGCTTCCGCACAGTATTTCTTATTTCAATTTATCTTAGTATGCTATGATATGCCAGCTCAGGGTTAGCTTGGAGTCACTCGTGATCCTAAGTCTCGTGTTTACATCAAGGGGGTAGCCTCGGAGCGTGACATATGTCATTTCCATTGGAGAAATAGCTCACATGAATGACATTGATGAGACTTTTCTCAAAATTCTATGGTATATTTAAGCTTTTTTTCCTATTTAATATATCAGGAAATCATCTTTCTTCTTAATTCTAATTTTTTAAACAAAGAAAATAATTTTCTAATATAAATTAATTAATATAATTTAATTAGTTAAGTGTTTATATGAAAATCTAAGACAGATAAAATGCCAAAAAAAATATATTTTGAATTTAGCCGGTCAATAAACTTCAGTCAAATTCAATTTAATTTTTGTAATTTGTCTCTTTTTGAAACTGCAAAACTCAATTATAGATAAATGAACATGACACGTTTTAGCTTAAGCTAAAGATAATTTTCAATCAAATGTTTTCACATCTACCAAAGAATTGAGAAAAAACTTAGATTTTGTTTCAATAGTAAATTTTTTGCATTTACTTGTAACTGTTGTTTTCTATTACACTTTAAAAAAGGAAAAAAACTATAAATATCATTTTTATCCTGTTTGAAGACCATATATACATACCTCATTGTCTAAATTTCCTTTCTCTAAATCTTATTGCAATTTTTCTTTTAAAAATTCTAAAAACAAAAATTCTCTTTAATTTTCTGAAAATTTTGCAATGGCTAATTTCACAAAGGAAGAAATTGACATTATTGTGGTTGGAGCTGGACCATCTGGTATAGCTGTATCAGCCTGTTTAAACAAATAAATACAAGATTGTTGTGCTTATTTGTGGAAGAAAAATACTTATGATAGACTTCATTTGCATCTATCAAAGGACTTTTGTTCATTGCCATTTATGCCACATGCAACTTCATCACTTTAGTATATGCCGAAAAAAAAAATTATTCAATACTTAGATGAGCATGTTGAGCATTTCAACATCAAGCCAAAATTTCTAACTTGTGTTGAATCGGCCTTTTACAACTTTGGGGAATAGAAATGGAATGTCAAATCATGAAATTTGACTAGCGGAGAAATTGAAATGTATGATAGTGATTTCTTGATTTTGGCTTGTAACGAACTGGTTCTGTCATTTTAGAGAAGCCAACGGGGGGAAATTTGGGGCCGAAAAACTTTTTCGTAGTATTTGGATTTTCCCAACCTTGTCTAGATTTGGACGAAATTGGAGTCTTTAAGGTGTAGGAAAATCTTGTAACAATCTGGTGATTTATTTTTTATTAAGATTACATGGGTTGATAGATAACTTGTTAAGAAATCCTTACGACTTTACGGAATTGAATTCGAACGAGTAGAGCTCCCGAAATCGACCTTAGCGTAAAGGTATTTTTTGAGCATCATTGGTTAGAGGTCTGTTGTGGAATGGGGATTTTGGAAATCTTTGAATAGCTCACTGGTTCGTGCAAGCCGCTCTAGCGGTGCTTTTGGTCGCTCTGGCGAGGCTGCTACAACGGGGTGAGGGCAGCTATGGCGGGTTCGACGCGACTTAAAGTCGTAAATAAACCCCTAAAGACCTTATTTTGTACTTTTCAATTTTTAGAGCTAAGGAACGAACCTCAGGTGACTCCTAACAGTTTTTCACCATTTTTGAGGCTAAAGGTAAGATTTTCACTCCCCGAATCCATTTTTCGATCCGTAGAACGTAATAGAATGGACAATTAATGATGGGGGAGGGTTTTGATCTAGATTATATGGTGGAAACAACCCTATTTTGGATGCTTGGAATCATGGGTATGATCTAGGGTTGTTAGAATTGTTAGTAATCCGGGTAATTAGTGATTGTTTATTGATTCCCGTGTTATTATGATTGTTTGTAGACCAAGAACAAGCGGAACGAATCCGGAAAGGGAAAGATCAAGTTTCTTATGGTTTCAAGCTTGTTTCAAGGTAGGTGATGGTTGTGATTCTATGATTGTGTGATGTATGTTTGTTCTTGCTTCAATATGATACTTGCATGTATATGAATGTTGCATTATTGATCCTACCTGTTGTAAATGAGATAGATGAATGATAAATGGCATGAATCATGACTTAATTGTATGATCTTGAGGATATACTTGTGATTGTGATTGTCGCATGTTGAATGGATCGGTTGCCACGTTCCAGCATAACTCAGTTGGATTGGTTGCCACGTTCCGGCATAATTATGTGATCGGTTGCGACATTCCGGCATAATCATTGGATCGGGTACCACGTTCTGGTATGCTAATTGTTTGGGTTGGGTTCCATGAGAGGACCAATGACTTGTTATAATTGTGTATATTGTTGAGCATGTGATAATTGATATTATATATGTTCAGTATTTTGCATGTTTATAATATTTGGTTGACTTGCTTATGTTACACTTAGTGGATAGCCGCGTGATCCTACCAGTACACTGTGGTTGTGTACTGATACTGCACTTGCTCTTATTTTTGTTGAGTACATGGCATCTTCGAGCGGCTACTGACAGACCTCGCTAAGAAGATCAGTGATCACCGTTCGAATTCAAGGGTGAGCCAATTCTTCCGGGCTGACATCAGTTCTCTTTTCGTCTATGTCCACATTCCGGACTTAGAAAGTTCTACTAGTTATTTGTGCATTAGTTGGGGTTGTATCCCTTCTTGTTTAGCCTTGGTTCATTATTAGATGTTTTGGTACATTGACTTTCAGGTTCTAAGAATTACTTCCACAATGTTAGTTTATTATTGTTAGACTTTAGTTAGAGTTTATGGGAACTCTATTTATTTCCTTAGTATTTAACTTGCTTCCGTAAATTAAATGCCTTAGTTTAGGTTTAGTTGCTTGGTTTGGGCTGTAGTAGTGGTTCTACCACCGGAGTGTTAGTGTGGGTGCCAAACACGATGGTCTGGGTCGTGGCATGGCTACTGGAGAAAATAACGAAGGTTATATTCCAGAAATGATAGGAATAGAAAATTTCAAAGGCGAAATAATCCATTCAAGTAATTATAGATCTGGTGAAAAATATAAGGATAAAAAGGTATTGATCATTGGATCAGGAAATTCTGGGATGGAAATAGCTTTTGATCTTTCAAATTATGAAAGTCACACATCAATTGTTATTAGAAGTCCAGTAAGTCTCTTTATCTCTTTATGCCTTATCTTTACTTTTATCGTTATTTGTTTGCATGTGAGTAGGTTTGTGTTTGTTATAAAAAAAATTAAATGGTAGTGTTCGATCAGTTTAGTTGTACATCAATTATTTTACATGGTACCTGTTACTTTTTGCTTGCATTTGTAATGTTTTAAGTCGATTCAACAAGATATTGGGTATGAGTTTCTTGACCATCAACACCAGGTCATACCCTTATGTGAAAGGGCCGGAATATGAACTTGATTTCTCATGATTTTCATTCTACTTTATTTACCATCCATACAGTCATCTATACCCTTGTGGTATTTCTTATTTAAAAAAATATTTTTTAATTAGCTTCACCTCCAATAATTTCCATCGATTCGTCATTTGTGTTAAATTTCACAAACATACTCTCCAAGCACTATACAAAATTGCAAAAACAACCTCGATTCTGAATTCAAAATTGATTTAATAAAATCAGTTGTTCTTTAAAAAGGGAATACTTGTTGACTAGAAAGTGATTAAGGAATATGGTGTTGGATTATTGTAAATACAAAAATTTGGGATAGATATTTAAATATCCTAAAAACATAGAAATATCTCATTACTCCATTTCTAAATCGCACAAAATTAAATTTTTTAAATTCAGGTCTCATCCGGTATCTTATATCGTGATAAAAAGAAGAGTAGGATTTGGAGAGGTGACAAGTTGTTTAGTTAAAGTATAAACAACTCATACAGTTTTTACTTTCAAGAACTGAATTCGAAGAAAAAGAACTAGGGTTTCTTTTTCTTATAAGTAGAATCTTTATTTTTGCTAAGTTTGTCTTATTAACAATTTTATACATCGTCATTTCACATGTTTCACAGATAACATATTTTACTTTTTAAGAATTTGAATCTCATAATTTTGAAGAATCTTGTATATAGATATCAGTTAGATGACTTGATAAATGATAGTACAAAAAATAATTTGCACTAACTGTATATGAAACTTAGATTTCTCTTTAAATATAATCTTTTGTGCATTACTTATATATATTTCTTTTTTTAGAACCCTTGCTAATTCCAGTTACCAACTTTAGTATATGTCTTTGAATACTACAAGTTATATACCATTACGTTATAATTGATTTGATTTTGTACTTCTTTTTTAATATATCGTAAAAATATGAAACTTACATTATAGTTCATGATGTTCTCCCAAAGTACTATAACTTTTCTATTGTTAGATTATGCAAGTTTTTCACATGCACAATCAATTATATTTTTGATAAATATGGTTGTTAATTCTAAAAGTTTTAATATATTTTGTCCTAATGTTTTTGCAGATTCATGTCCTAACAAGGGAGATGGTGTATACTTCAATGTTGTTGCTAAAATATTTACCAATATCTTTGATTGATACTGTAATTGCGAAGTACGCAAAATTTAAGTTAGGAAATTTGTCAGAATTAGGAATACCACAACCAGAAGAAGGTCCATTTTCTTTTAGGGTATCGAAAGGTAGGTCCCCAGTAATTGATGTTGGTGCCATTGACAAGATTAAATTTGAACAGATTAAGGTATAATAGTATCTTTATTTTATTTCATTTTATTTTGAGAAATATTATGTGAAAAACAGATCGCTTTAGTTTTTCCGAGGGTTTTGGTCTTATAGTAAAAGTACAACATGTGATGTATGGTTAGGCGTACATCACGAGTTCAAATTTGATAACCACCAAGAAACTAGTAGTAGTATTTAATGAAGAAGAATAAAAAAACATGTTCATTATCATGCGCATTAGTTGAACTGTTATAGTTACGGAATAGGAAGAATTTAGTGACTTTGGCTAATACAGTATATTTGTGTAAATAGTTCATCCAATATGCATTGATAATCTATTATAAAAAAAAGGAAATAGCGCTTGGTTTTTTTTTATGAAAAAACTTTTGGTCAATTGATTATTTGGTACTACCTGGAATATCATAAATAAAGGATCATACAGTAGTGTTTGACAATGGAGATGAACATCAATTTGATGCAATCATTTTTGCTACTGGATACAAGAATATTGGTACCAAATGGCTAAAGGTACGTTATGCAAATTATCACTATGTTCTTTTTTTTTAATTCTAAATTTTAGTCTAGAAATTTTCCACTTGCCTGTAAATATCGTGTGCAAATATGTTTTTCTCGATAAGTTTTCCTAGTTACTAATTTAACTAACTATTAATTTTACCATCATTGTCTCAAATAATGGACAATTTTTTTTCTTTTGTACGCAGGATTATAGCTCAATATTCCTTGAAGATGGCACATTGATAAATTGGAAAGGAGAGAATTGGCTATAATGTGCTGGATTTTCAAAATTTGGATTGCTGGTATTTCAATGGATGGTAGAGCTATTGCCGATGATATTAAGACTGTTAGAGGAGACAGTTTAGATTTTTATTATTATTATATCAGACTATGTTGTTAAATAAATTGTCTAAACCTTGCATGAATGCAGGATGCTTTCTGCACCGGGCTTTACTTTTTAAGTTTATCTAGAACTTAAAAACATTGTTTCTTTTAGTATGTTTTTTATTGGAATCATGTTTCTACTGTCATAGAAATTTGATGAAACTTTTCTGATTGATTGTCTTTCTTTGTTGATTTTTTTCATTTTTATAATGATGGTGTGGGGTTCAGATCGTACACATTTCGACTATTACATCAAACATTTGCTATCTCTTGCCAGCGCAAGTATCGAATAATTCTACACATCAAATCAGGTAACTTTTATTTGAGACATTTATTAACAACGTGAATGAAATCTACTATGTCCTCTATTTTTCATAGTAAAGTATATCAAGAGAGAGAGAGATACATAGAGAGAGAGAATTGGCTTCTTGAGAATCTAATTTTCCTTCAATTCCTTGAGGTTTATAAGGTACATAAAATTAAATGTACATTGAGCAGTTAACATTCCATCTTTCTAAGGTCATTGCTAGGTCGATCTGTAAAAAATGTCCTAACGAACCATTACAAAAATAAGAGGATGACGACAGGTACGTTACCTAGCTCATAATAAATACTCCTTATGTCCTCGCAAGAATGTAAAAGTTGTTGCAGATGATTCAACTAGATACGCACCACCTACTTAATCCAGAACCAAATGGTTAATTTAGCTTCCTCTCAAACCTCATGTCTACATTTTTGACCACTTAGCCTTAGGTTCATGCTTACTGTTGTGCTTTCTTTTGGGCCAACTTTTTGTGTCTAATTTTCCCAACCACTGAGAAGAAGAAGTTCCTCCCCGGGTTTCATCTGATCTTTTCCTTTTTGTCGAGATAGAGTCTGGTGGTACATTGTCTCCATTTGATTGTTCCCAATTCACTAAAGATGTTTTTCCCTAACCTTTGGTAGACCATTTTCCTTTTGAACAAGGAGAGTCGTGTGGTTCACCATCCTCCTTAGGTTGTCCCCAACTCGTTGAACGTACTCCTTCCCAACCTCAGTAGGCCATTTTCCTTTTGACTGTCCATAGCTCTTTGAAGTTAATCTTTACCAACCTTCGATAGACCATTTTCTTTTTGTCGTGATAGGTTCAGAAGGTATAGCTGACTGAATTCCTTTCTGGCTTTCTTTACTTTGTTCAGGATTCTTGATATCTCTACAAGGAAGAGTGGTTGTATTATTATCTTCTATATTTTTCTTGTCTTAGAACTGTCTTGAAAGGGGTTAGCACGTCCAAACAATAGAATTTTTAATGTGGGTATTTCAACAAGGCCATCCATAAAAGCAGAAGTGTATTCGTTAGTATGCTGGATACACTTGAATATGTGTTTCACTTCTGCTTTCCTGACAATCCTTGTAGCATTTTGAGACCGATCAGTGAAATCCTCAACCCATAAAGATCACGATAATCCATTAATACATCACTTCAAAGATTACTTAGCAGAACGGATATCAATAAGTGAAAGATAACTAAACTGATGCAGCAAACTTTGGAGTCCATTGTTTTAGATAGCCAAGAGGCTTCATAGGTACTTGCACATAGTCCTTTGGCCCATAGCTTCTCAACCGATAATAACTGCAATGAAATGAGACCATAATGAGCCAGAAAATTGGAGGTTTGCTGGGGACTAGGAGTTTCTTTAAGATGAGGCCAGATATACTGGATTTACAATACCTTGACTAACAGTGTCACTAGCAACTCAGCCATCGACTCTTTCTTTCTCTTCCCATAGTTCACAAAATTATGCAATGACTTTGCCACCGCATCTGGATCACTGCCATCTAGAACGTTTACAAGCAAAAAATATTACTGAGATACTTAAAACAAAAACTCTCATGAAAAAACTAAACCAAAGAGAAAAGTTCCAAAACAACAAGGAAACAAATGCTAAAACCAGAACTTCATTTATAGCATTACAAATGAAAGATTTTTCATACACGTCCAGTTGTGATGCTTAGGGTCCTATATATTTCTTCAGAAGAGGTATTTCTATCATGATCTTGATTCCTGGGAATTTTTATTTTCTACTATAGTACTTCACAACACTCTGTACTGATACTTAAATTATTACATCCCTTCCAAAAGGAGTTCGATAACTGAAAAAGTAAAGGTTCATAGTTACCTTCTAATATGGCAGAAAATGGCGGCAGTATTGGAGGATTTTGTGTATGTGAAGTTCACATGACTCCAACTGAAAGAGAAAAAAAATAGATTATTAACTAAACAACTACATTAATAGCCCTCTAGAAAGAAAATATACACATACAAAACAAATAAGCAAAAAATCATTTAGAAACATTGAAAGTCATTCTGAATAAGCTAAGGCCATGAGGGGGAAAATTGAGATGAAGTTGATAAACTATGGCCTTCCTAAAAAGCATGGTCTTTTGTTTTTATGGACAAAAAGGGTTAAATATAGCAAGAAGAAGTTTATAAGAGTAACACTGTTGTCCGCTTGTACAAGAGGGTGCTTTACAAAAGGTGCACCAAACCATCTTTTTCTTTCTCCTTTTTTCTTTGGATAAGGCAAAATGAATTTCATTAAATAATACCAAGAAGGTACTGCATGTCTGCAAAAGTACAGAAAGTAAATTTCTCTTAATTTTGGTGTTTTATAAATTGAAATAATACAAGCTTGGTGTTGTAAGAATACTGTAACAAATTGGGCATTTTATTGTGCTTACAATAGCCTCTTTAGAGGATACTGTTGATAGCATATTATGCACATTTCACTAGAACAAAAGAAGATGAAAGAGGTGCCAGTTTTCCTTAGAACAATCAACAGGATTCTTTCAAATTTCAGCCCGAATTTGAAGGATTTCTCTGTGGATTTCGTCACCAGGTATGTGGGATTTCACTAGTGGGTTTCTTTCACCCATGAGGTCCCTAGAATTCAATCAGATTCTTGATTCCCTTCATATTGTTTAGACTTAGGGTTTCTAGAACTTCAGATAATTGTTGTGATTTAGCTGTTAGAGTAATCTTAATCTGAATATTACATTTTTGTAACCATGTTACCTAATTTTAGCATGAAATTTAGATCCCTAGTTGTGTAGATTCGTTTAGTTCATGAATTACACTTGCTAGGTCAGTTTATACAGATATACATGCATCAGTTTTCAAATGTTTCATTATCAGTACTTAGTGTTGTATTTTAAGTTAGCATGTCAGAAACTTGAGCTATCCAGTTTATTTTAGTTGTGTTGTATTTTACACATTCTAGTCGGGAGTAGGCTTAATACCGAGTTTGACTAGGGTCAGTAACTAATGTGCCGCTAAATCTTGGCACATTTGATGCTTGAAAACAAAGAATTAGTACTAAATCGGGTGTAGTTATGTGGATATGATGTGTTTGGTAGTGTTTGTACAGGTGAAATAGGTGGACCTGAAATAAGACAGAAAAGAAGAAAGTTTAGTTAAAGTGAATTGAAGAAAGTAAATACCACGGACGACATCACGGAAGACATCACGGACGAAATCTCGGGCCGTGGTCTTCACTACTGATCGTGGAGCTGCTCGTAGAGTTGAACCAATGCTTAGGTTTGGAGGAGCTGAAAGATGATTGAACCAAGTGAAGACCAGAGATGACCTCACGGGCCGTGGTCCTCACAACGGTCTGTGGTGAGAGTCGTAAAGAAGATCCAGTGAATGAGCAATGAAAAGTTCAAGATGGAATTGGTCAAGTGAAGACCACGGACAACTATACAGACCATGGTCATTGTCACGAGTCATTGTGGTGTCTGTGGTGATGATCTAGTGTACAGGCGTTGAAGAACCTATTTTGGATGAGTGAAAGTGAAGACCACGTAGGGCTTCACGGACCGTGAAGTGCTTGACGGATCGTGGAGGCAATAGTACACTTGTGCGACAGATTAGCCCTACTTCGAGTAGGACTATTTTTAAACATTCTATTTGAATTAATTAGGGGATTTTTTCAGTTTATCTTATCTTATCTGGAACGAAGAACGAAGTTTGGAAAAATTCTTAGCTTTTGGTTTTGAACATTAACATCGAAACAAGTTTGGAAGTTGGATTTCGGGTTTTTGAATTATCAAAGTGCTTATCGATTTTGCTTATATTTCGTAGGTATTTTCTTGTCATATTTTCATTATATACTTCTGTATGTCTACGTGAAATCATGAAACTCATTTACGGAAAAATACGAAACAACTTTAGAACTTAATATTCTGTTAATTGTTAATCTGGATTTTGATTACCAATCTTAGTTAATAGAAAATCACAACTAAACCCAAATTTACATTCCGTAAGTGCTCTCTTTAAGAAATAATAACAACATTTGGGTAAACGTGACAATGAAATCATTTCTATAAAGAAATTCTCTGTGGGATCGACCTCAACTCACGTTGAGTTCTATAAATTGACTTCGACCGTTTATACCTCTTAATTAAGGGGTAAGTTTGGACGTATCAAATTTTTGCGTCGCTGCCGGGGAATTTCAATTCAGAAGTGTTTTACTAGCTTTTATTCAAAATGTGGTTATATTTCCTAATTTTACGTCTTGTTCTTTGTCTGTGTCTCTTACATGTGAGTTAAACTGTGTATGCCAAATACCCGAAGTAAGGGAGCCACATTGATCCCATGCGATCCAGAACTTTAGAAAACAATTTGCAAAATGGTGAATGCACAAGAACTTGAGGCTTAGAGGCAAAGACTAGGATTGGAAGCTGAAGCTAATGCAAAAGGTATTCAGCAGTATGCTGTGAACAACCTGCCTAGGGTGGTGGATGAGCAACCAGGAATGGAAGAAATAGCTCCTCCCCACCGCCAACCACTAGATCGAAGAGGTCGAGCACAGTACCCAACTCACATGATGTACGAAGATGATGACTTAGATTTGGATGGAGCTAGAGCCACATGAGCGATAGTGTTACCTGCACTACCTCCAGGTGTGAAATTCACAATCACCAGAACTATGATTCAACTGCTGAATCTGAAAGGTATGTTTAGGGGTGCAGCTGGTGATGATGTGAATCAACATTTGATGAACTTTGTAGCGATATGCAAATCGCAAGAAATTCCTGGAGTTAGCCAAACAATAATGAAATTGAGGATGTTTTTCTTAGCTCTTACTAGGGAGGAGACCAATCGGTTGAATGAGATGCCAGATGACTCAATCAGGACTTGGACTGAGCTGAATGAGGCTTTCCTGGAATGATTCTTTCCAGCATCAAACTAGCTACAGATGAAGGGTGAGATAAGTGCCCACAAGCAGTTACCAGGAGAAGCGATGCATGACACCTGGTGGAGATTCAGTCAAAAGTTGAAGAAGTATCCAAACCATGGTCTCACTAAGGGACATCTGAAATAGGCTTTCTATAGATCTATGAATTATGTTACTAAACATGTTGCTGATGCTATGTGCGGAGGATCATTCATGAGGAAGCCATTTGAAGAAAGCATGCAGAAGTTGGATGAAGTATCTAAGAACAACAGAGCATTGCACACTAGGGATGCTGATGTAGGAGATCTTTGGTTTACCTTCAAACTTTCAGCAGAACAAAAGAAAAGAGAAGAAGAAAGGGATCAGTACATGGCGCACATGAGGACCCAAATAGATCTTCTCACGAAACATATTGTGGCAAGTTCTAAAAAGGTAAATGTTGTAGGACCTCCAAATAGGTATGAAGATCAGGACATCGATCTAGATGTGAAGGCTAATTTTTGGGCAACCAAGGAGGTTTCCAGAAATATAACTCGGGAAACCAAGGTTACATTTCTGGAAATACAGGTCGGAACTACTCTAGAGAAGGACAGTATTACAGGCCAGCAAATAGAGAGAAGGAAAACTGGAAGAACATAGATGGGTACATAAATTATCGCAGTGGTGCATATGTTCCCCCAGGTAATAGAGACCGGGCATGTAGTAGTTCCAGCGGGTCTAAGCTCGTAGACATGTTGGCCAAGGTGCTCCAAAAGGTTTAGTCAACTGATCCAGGGGTGAAGGAAATGAAAGGTGATTTCTCCAGTATGAGTCAACTGGTAGACTCTCACACCACCTCCATCAAGCAAATAGAGCAGTAGTTGGGGAAACTTTCAACATCACTAAACCAGAGGAAGAATGGGTCGCTAATAAGTGATACTATTCAAAATCCTAAGAAGGACGGGCACTGCATGGCTATCACCACCAGGAGCGGTAAGATTCTTAATGACCCAATTTATGCAAGTATTGAGCATGATCAGGTGTTGGAGCAAACTAGAAGAGAGGAGGCCGAAGCTGAACAGGTAAATGACTTGGAGGACGCTCAACCAATAGTGAAACCAACAGGATCAAAGGAAATAGAGGTTGAGGGAATTATGCCCCTAAAGTAGATACCAAGACCACCTCATCCTTTCCCTCAAAATCTTGAAAAGAAAGCCGAAGATGGGAAATTTACTAAATTCATCACCATACTGAGACAGCTATTAGTGAACATCTCATTGGTGGAAGCCGTAGAGTAGATGCCCATTTTTCTGTGCGGAACTGGTAGTTGGGGAAGTCATAGAAGT